GACAATGAATGCAACACCATTCCTCTTCAATTTGTCTTTTCCGGCATAGTAAATCAAGTGTCATCACATGCAAAATGGCCAACACCATTCCATTTCAGCTAACTAATGCCTAAGATATCGATGTTTATGCATTCCATTTCATTTTTGAAAACTTCCAATTATCCCAGATTCATACTTCATACATTCCATGTTCTTATTTTCAATGGATGTTTACAGCTGTTTCTGTTCATTGTGAGTTGTGCCCCATCAACAAATGAAGGTCCCGTGGGTTTTTCTCCCACTGTCTTTACTCCATTCACGTCATTATGGTCAACTCTGCTTTGAGGAAGCAGCTCTTCCCCAGTCGCATCTGAGTGCCTTCCAACCTGAGGGGCTCATTTTCTGGCACTATATCTGAGTGTTTCTCTGCTATTCATAAGGTTTTCAGTGACTAAATATTCTAAAGTAGTTCGTCACTCTTTCTTCCTAGTCTGTCTTTGTCTGGAAGCTCATCTGAAGCCTGTCCACCCTGGGTGACCCTGCTGGTATTTAAAATACCAGTGACATATCTTTCAGAATCACAGCAACTCACAAGCCACCACAGTATGACAAACTGACAGACGACTGAGGGAAGCTATGGAGGAAAAGAAGAGGGCCCCCTATGAGACGTACTGGACAGTGGCCACAGTAATGGGCTCAAGTGTAGCAATAATTGTGAGGTTTCATAGGACCAGGCAGTGTTGCATTCTCTTTTGCATAGGGCTGCTATCAATCAGTACTAATTCGATGGTATCTAACAAGAACAAAAGTGTCAAATAGCAAAGATACTATATTGAGGATTATGGTGCACCTGATTCCAATTTATGGTATTTTCTATGCATGTTCAAGCTAGACCATGAGTAAGGAAGACCTTAGAAGAAATGATGCATTTCAAATAAGGTTTTGGTGAAGAACATTGAAAGTACCATGGATTTGTAGAAGAACAAAGAAATCTCTCTTGAAATTACTGTAGTCAGAAATTTCCTTGGAAGTGAGGATGCTGAGGCTTTGTCTCATGTACTTTAGCCATATTATCAGGAGGCAGTTGTTGTTGTTGTTATTAAGTGCCATTGAGTTGATTCTGACTCATAGCAACCCTGTATAGGGTTTCTGAGGAGTGGCTGATGGGATTGAACCACCAACTTTGTGGTTCAATGTGACCTTGCGGTCTAGTGCTTTATCCTATAGTGCCACATTAGGAGGTGGTGGTGGTGGTTTATGTGGCATGGAGTCAGTTCCGACACATAACAACCCTGCATAGGATGTGTGAGGCTGTAAATCTTTACGGGAGCAGAGAGCCTCATCTTCCTCCTGCAGAACCACTGGTAGTTTCGAACTGCTGACCCTGAGATTAGCAGCCCGATTTATAACCACTACGCTATCAGAGCTCTGGTAGTCCCTGGAAGAGGACATCGTGCTTGGTAATAATGTAGAGGGTCAAAAAAAAAGAAGCCCCTCAATGAGATGGACTGACACAGTGACTACAACAATGATTTCAAATATAACAATAATTGTG